TATTTTGGGAGAATCTGACCATGCTTGAAGACGGTTGCATGAATGAGAGGGAACGAGTGAACATTTGAATTTATTGAAATGCTGACACGCGGTTTCTTTCTCAAAGTGACGTTATCACACGCAGGCGTCATCATTGCGCGTCTTCCCGAGGAAACACAAAAGGTGTTCTGGTGCTCGGTTTCCTGCGCCCGTTTGAATTCCGCCTCTTCGATTTCAACGCCACCCAACCCTATAAATAGGGGAAGGGTTTAAATTGATCCAACTTTCGATCATTTGCAAGCATTTTCTGACCTTCTAAGAAGGCACTTCCTTTCTTTGAAACCCCACCGTTTCTCAAAAATCACACTTTCCGTTGTGTCACACACCGTTTCCTGGACGGAAATTATGGCAAAGCCCCGAAGGGATGATAATCCGAAGGCTCTTGATAATACGTCGTCCGATGTACCGCTTCCATCTGGCGGTGATGAGGGAGACGGAGAAGAGGAACTCACACCCCTTACCGTGGACAACGTGTTACCGAAGCAACTTCTTGTTAGGAGAGACTTCCAAAAGGATTCCCCCGCGCAGCCCTCGGAGAATTCTGAGTTAACGCATGATGACTTAGATGACCTTCGTACGTCGTTCGGCATACCTGCTCATGTGGAGATGGTCCCGGCGGGGACGGATTATGCGAACGTCCACAGACCGGGATATTGCTCGTTCTATGAATATCCTTTTTTAATTGGTTATGGTCTTCCCATCTTTCCTTTGGCGGAGGAGTTTTGCCGCTTTTACAACATGTGTCCATCCCAACTCACTCCGTACACCTTAAAAGTATGCAGGATAATGTCTACATACGCAGAGCTGGCTAGGTGTGAGATCTCCGTCCACCACCCTTTTCGCAGTTGTTCAGCGCCAGTTATCTAAGGGGTACCATGTTGCATTTGAAGAGCCGTGGTTCGAAGGGGCTGGTNCAACTTCATCAACTGGAGCATCCATAACATCTACACCATGATGATCATTTTGATCTTGATCACTATCTCCATCATTGTCTTGGGTTCCTTCATGTGCAATAAGTGCCTTAGCAATTGAAACTGGATCAATATCAACTAAGCTCTCATTACTCTGAGAATCTATCTTCTCAGCTTTGTCAATATCTTCAATAGTTTGGTCTTCAAAGAATATTGCATCACGACTTCTAATAAGTTTATTATCAATTGGATCATAAAAACGATACCCAAACTCATCTTGACCATAACCGATAAAGATGCACTGCTTAGTTTTGACATCCAGTTTCGATCTCTCATCTTTAGGAATATGCACACAAGCTTTACACCCAAAAACTCTCAGGTGATCATAAGAAACATCTTTGGCAAACCAAACTCTGTTTGGGACATCACCATCCAAAGCAACAGCAGGAGACAAATTGATAACATAGGCAACAGTGTTAAGTGCTTCCGCCCAAAATGTATTTGGAAGTTTAGCCTCTGAAAGTAAGCATCTAACTCTCTCAACTAGAGTTCTATTCATCCTCTCTGCCAAACCGTTCAATTGAGGCGTCTTGGGCGGAGTTTTCTGATGACGAATTCCTTGTTCCTTGCAATAGTTATCAAAGGGACCACAATATTCACCACCATTGTCAGTGCGAATACATTTTAGTTTCTTCCCCGTCTGTCTCTCAGCTGAGTCCTGAAATTCCTTAAACACGCCAAGTGCTTGATCTTTAGATTTCAAAGGATACACCCAGAGCTTACGAGAATGATCATCAATGAAGGTCACAAAGTAAAGTGCACTACCTTTTGACTTTACTTTAAAAGGACCACACAAATCAGAGTGTACTAGCTCTAATAAATCGGGCTTTCTTGAGGGAGGATGGCTATGAAAGGAAACCCTTTTCTGTTTGCCAGCTAAACAATGTATGCACCTTTGCAGCTTTGCTTGTTTTACTCCAGAAAGCAAACTTTTCTTAGCCAAACACGTAATCCCCCTATCACTCATATGACTCAATCTTCGATGCCACAATTCTGACAAACTATCACTTTCCACCAGATTTATTGAGTCATTAAGAATAGAGCCCTGTGTCACATATAAATGACCAGACTTGACTCCTCGAGCCACTACTAACGAGCCCTTGGTGAGCTTCCATTGGCCGTTAAAGAGAGCATTATGGTAACCTTCATCGTCTAATCTTCCTGCGGAGATCAAATTGAAAGGAAAGTCTGGAGCATGCTTCACATCTTGAAGAACTAACGTTGAACCATTATTAGTTTTCAAACAAACTGTGCCAACACGAAACACCTTAACTTCACTGGCATTGCCCATCTTTAACACTCCAGAATCAACATGAGTATAAGATGAGAAAAAATCTTTTCTTGGTGTGACATGTGAGGTAGCTCCAGAATCTACTATCCAGCTCGTCTCATGGGATACCAAATTGATGACGTTTTCATCATAAACAAAAAGAAGGTCATCTTGAACAATAGCAGCAACATTATTCTCGTTATTTTCAACTTTCTTTCCTTCTCTAGTGTCTTGATTCAACTTGCGGCAAAACCTTTTGATGTGTCCTTTCTTGCCACAGTGGTTGCATGTAACATTATAGTATTTGGACCTTGACTTACTTCTACTTTTACCTCTATTCCTTGAGCCTCTTGTTCTATCTCTCCCTCGGTCTTCTGTAACCAAGATATCTGCTTGTAAGGATGAACCCTGCGATTTTCTCCTTACTTCCTCGTTCAACACACCACTCTTGGCATATTCCATGGTCACCTTACCTCCAGGAGCTGAATTTGTCAAAGAAACATGAAGAGTTTCCCAAGAGTCTGGCAGAGTATTAAGAAGCCAAAGTCCTTGTATCTCATCATCAAAATTAACCCCCATTCCAGATAGCTGATCAAGGACGCCCTGAAAATCATTTATGTGATCAAGGATAGGGCTGCCTTCCTTGTATTTAAAGGTCATCAATTGCTTTAGCAGAAACAATTTGTTGTTCCCGGTTTTTAAAGCATAGAGACTCTCTAGCTTTTCCAGCAATGATCTCGCATGTATCTCGTTCACAATATGGTTGCGAACATTATCTTCAACCCATTGCCGTATATATCCACATACTTGTTGGTGCTCGAAATCCCAATCTTCATCGGATATACTCTCGGGTTTATGAGCTGAAAAAACGGGTAAATGCATCTTCTTCACGAACAACAAGTCTTTCATCTTGCTTCTCCAAACATTATAATTTCTCCCATTTAAACATACCATCTTGCTCATATTCGCCTCCATTCCGTAATAACCCGGATAAATAACCAAGGCTCTGATACCACTTGTTAGGATCGAAAAAATCAGGTGTCATGTAACTTGTTAGGACCGAAAAAGAAGGTGTCATGCGGAAGCTAGCAAAGCAAACCTTGAACGACGATAAATCACACAACAAAAGAGAAATCTACCAAAAGAGACACAAACATTTAACGTGGTTCGGTCAACTGACCTACGTCCACAACGGAGATGAGCAATCCACTATAATAAAAAGAGAGTACAAAATATCGAGAGAACAACCTCACGAAGAGGCAAACACAAGTGACACACTAATACTTGTCCTGTAAAGTTCTCCCCCTAAACAAGACTCTCAAGCCCCCTATGGCTACATTGTGGATGCTACTGAATGTGAAGGAAGGTTCAATTTATAGAAGTCCAAACCTTTTCCTACAAGAAAAAGGACTAGCCAAATATTGGAGAATTATAATTTTCTTTTACAAAAAGGAAAACCCAGTTAAGGTAATTATATTGCCCTTTTCCTTCAAGAGATAGGAAAACCAAATATGGTAAGAAAATTATGGCAAACACCTAACAATTCTCCCCCTTGGCCTGAATTTTCTGACAAAATAAACTTGATCCACCTTCTTCACATAGCCTTCAATAGGTCGCACCTCCAGATCTCCGCCACAAAGTTTGTCTCAACGTGCGTAACACTCCGGTCAAATTTCTCAAATAAAAATCATGATTACCGTCAAATAGGTTGCGGCTAGAACTAAACCCGCGAACATGAACCTGTCTTGAACCTCGCTCGAAGTTGGCTCTGATACCAGTTGTTGGGCTTAAACGGCCCAATGACACTCTTAACATGTGGGTGGCATACAGTGAATCTCAGAAATTAACCCGTGAATCGTGGTAGTGAGCCACATGGAACTTAGTTCGAGGGGGAGATTGTTGGGCGTGCGAACAAAGTCCCACATTGGTAGCTGAAAAGATAGGGAGTCTACATATAAGGTGTAGGGATCTCTTAATGGTGTGAGGCCTTTTGGGGAAAACCGTGCGGGCTTGGCCCAAAGCGGACAATATCACACCATGTTAAGAGTGTATTTGGGCCGGTTTAGCCCAACAACTGGTATCAGAGCCCAGGTTCAGCGGGACGAGTATGGAGATGGCGGAGTGATGGTGCGAGACGGTGCGCACACAAGAAGAAGCTAGTTGCGGGCTTCGATTGCCATAATACTCTAACAATGTGGGTGGCATACAGTGAATCTCAGAAATTAACCCGTGAATCGTGGTAGTGAGCCACATGGAACTTAGTTCGAGGGGGAGATTGTTTGGTGTGCGAACAAAGTCCCACATTGGTAGCTGAAAAGATAGGGAGTCTACATATAAGGTGTAGGGATCTCTTAATGGTGTGAGGCCTTTTGGGGAAAACCGTGCGGACTTGGCCCAAAGCGGACAATATCACATTATGTTAAGAGGGTATTTGGGCCTGTTTAGCCCAACAAGGCGTTATGTCGAGAGGACTCAAACCAGATCACGTAACCCAATTAACTACTTAGGTTAACACTTGTCAATGATACAAACCAAGTCATGATTTAATTTATTTTTTTATTGAATGTTTAGTTATGAAATTAAGCATTTTTTTTCCTTACGAAGTTTCGAAGCCATTCATTAGTTCGAGTTGGCCAACCAAAGCTACCTATATTTTCTTGTTGTTTTGCGCTAAGACTTTGGGTATTTAAACCACAGCCCTTTTTCTCCTTCATCACTCAAACATCCCAATTCTCAACCAACTCAAAACTCCTCTGCTCTTTTCTGAACTTACGCAGTTAGCCTTAAAGAAAATGGCATCCAAAATCATGAATATAATGGCTTTGGTCATAGTATTGGTGGCCTTATTTTGGAATGATGCTACAGCTCAATCGAATTGTATGACTACACTTGTTGGATTGGCCCCATGTATGAATTACGTTACTGGAAATTCATCAACTCCATCCTCATCTTGCTGCACAGCACTATCCGGTGTTGTCCAATCCAATCCTCAATGCCTTTGCTCTTTGCTTAATGGTGGTGGTTCTGGTCTTGGTGTTGCCATAAATCAAACTCTTGCTCTAGCTTTACCTGGTGCTTGCAATGTACAAACTCCTCCAGTTAGCCAGTGCAATGGTAAATTTGCATTCCTTAGTCTTTTATGCTAATTGCACAACATAACACGCTTACCTCATTTACCTTGAATTTCTACGCGCGTTTACTAATTGCACTTAAATTGGCTATTAATTGTTACTCCCTCCGGTCCAAAATAAGTGATTTTTTGGCCTTTTTCTTGTGGTCCAAAATAAGTGATTTTTTCAGATTTCAAGAATGAATTAATTTTTTTTTTCCTACATTGTCCTTGAAGTAAATGGTATTGGAATATGTGTTAGGAGTGTTTATATGAGATAGTAAAGGTTAATATGGTCAATTCTATTGCTAATTAATGCTAAAAGGTGAATTTTTTAATTTGTGTGAAAATATCCAAAAAATCACTTATTTTGGACCGGAGGAGTATCTTTTAGGTGACCTAATTGTGTAATTTTTTTTTTTAACTGTGACTGACTTTTATGCATTTGAAAAAACAGCAGCTAATGGACCTAGTGGTTCAGTGCCAGCTGCAAGTTCACCTTCAGGTTCCCCTGCCCCAACTGGTTCATCGGATGAAACACCTGATCAAACCCCATCAACTCCATCAGGATCAGGTAATTCAAGTTCAAGTATTCTATAAGTCGTACACTAGCAGAATAAAAAAGGGCAAAAACAGACAAATTCGTTATTCTCTCTATTTATCTGATCCTAGAAGCTCCATTAAATTAAAAGTGGAACACTAATATTATTTTTTGCAGGTTCAACCGGATCTAAGACAAATACCTCACCAAATGGATCCTCAAATGCTGGAAGCAACATGAAAATTTCTTTCAGTTTAATGGGGTTCTTGCTCTTCATTGCATCAACTGCTTTGGCTTTCCCTGGATTTTGAAGGAGCTTCGCATGCAGTTACTCCTATGTCAATTCTTTGCTATTAAAACACTCTTACGGAGAGACCCTTTTTCTTGGTCTAGTGTGATTGGTTGTAACTTAGCTATTTATTGTTTCTTTTTTGTATGTTCGGAGAGCTCGTCATTGTACCATCATTTGTTTTGAATATAATAATCATCTTTGTGAATTGTGATCACTTGTAAACAGACCCTGTTCTCTGCATCTGTATGTCCTGTTTTTTCTTTTTCATGATTTGTTTGTATGAGGGCGAAAGCATCAAATTTTACGGTATGAATTTGAAAGGAAGAATTTAAAAAGATGCCGACCAAAGTAAACTATAAGCTCTATAGAATAGTTATAAGACAGGTGATGCCTAGTATGGGGTTGAATGTTGGGCCGCAAAAATTTAACACATTCACAAAATAAGTACCCATAGAAATGTTGATGCTAAGATGGATAGATTGGATAAGATTAGAAATGATTACATTTTAAGTAGCACACATCGAGGATAAGATGAGAAAAATATCACTTAAGATGGTTTGGTCATGTCATTTGTCGACCTCCAGATGTATCAGTCTGTAGGTGTGAAACTATAGGGAGTGTGAGTTAAAAAAGATGTGGTAGACATGGGCGGATGTAGCCTTTACCTACGGGAGCATATGAACCCATAACTTTCAATATGGGGTATATATATGTAAAAACCTACTAAAATCTCAACAAATATTAGATTTGAACCCATATTTTTTATGATATAATTAATTAAGTGCATAATTGAACTCATTAAATTTTAATACTGGATCCGCCTCTGGTGGTAGACCGAAAATCACTTGGAAGAAATTTGTTACCGATAATTTCTAAGAATCCATGCAAATACAGGACACAATGGAAGAAATTTTTTTTTATACATAGTTAAGAATTTGTTTTAGAAGTTAGCATTTTTACTTTAGAACTTATACTCTACGGGGTGGTTCAACCTTTCGTAGATTTATACTTTAAGAGAATATATATATATATATATATATTTTTGTATATATTTGGAAGATTTATGGAATATGATTACTAAGGATTCATATCGCCGATCCCAACTGATTTGAGACTGAAGTGTAATTATTGTTGTAGTAGGATATAAGATAAGAATACTTGTATTAATTAATAATACCTGAATTAGACTATTTATAGACAAAAATATCCTTAATTAATGTAGTATTTCTTGTATAACAGTTCATTAGGAATCACCACATAATAATTCCTTCATTATAATTAATTACCACATAAATATTATTTGCATTATAATATGTTAACCAAACGACCTTCTAAGTGAAAAAGACATAAAAAGCCTATTATGTCTTTTCCGGTTGTAAAATTACTTTTAAGTTAAGGGGAGAAAAAGCTACAGATTGTAATGTTGCAAGAGAAAGTAAACTTAATAATAATAGGGAAAAAAGACAAAGAAAAGTGACAACCACAATCATTGACACAATGACACTTCTATAAGTAGTAGTACACAAAAACATAACTTATAGAATTCAGCAACGGCAAACAAATTCAGCTATCTTTCTGTGTCAATTAGACCACGTATTACCTAAGCACTACCAACTGTAAAATAACCTATATATTTTCTGATTGGCACACTTCTTTCCTTGTTGCAACCAAGCCTACCTGTTCCATTATATATTTCTATTTTACAATAATAACTGGCGTCTCTAGCTATATCATTTGAACAATGAATCAAACTTTCCCTTTCTTTCTTTAATTATCAATAGTCTAGAACCAATTGGTTCTCGACTATGGAGATTTATATTTCAATTTGGTAAAGTTGGACACCCACACTATCAGGTGATATAGTCTCTAGATCTCAAGTTTCAGTATAAATTCACAGCAGAGTCATGCTAGTAATTCCATTCCCTTGATCAACTAACTAGCATAAACTATAGAGAATAAAATTATCCAAAATATACAAATTTCACTAAATGGCTTCAAATAGAAATGAGATCGGCCTGTCCCTAGTCCTGGTGCTCATGCTCATGCAATGGAACGGAGCCAGAGCACAATCAGGCTGCACCACTGCACTATTGAGCTTGTCCCCGTGTCTAAATTATGTTACTGGAAACACAACGATGCCATCGTCATCTTGTTGCTCACAGCTATCTAGGGTCGTGGCATCACAGCCGCGGTGTCTTTGCTCCGTGCTAAATGGTGGCGGCTCCTCTTTTGGTGTTTCTATTAACCAAACTCTTGCTGTTGCACTTCCTAGTGCATGCAATGTTCAAACTCCTCCAGTTAGCCGCTGCAATGGTATGCATATGTTAGACAAAAGAATTTTCATACTATCAAACCACTTAAATGATAACTAAAGGTAACTGCACATAATGAGTAATAATTAGTCACATGGATAGTAGGCAGCAACATGTTACAATAGGTTAAATTATACTGATATTGTAAAAACTATCTAAAGCTTACATTGACATGAAATTCATTCGTTTTCTATACTGTACAGCTGGAGCAAATGGACCAGCAGCTTCACCCGCTGATAGTCCTCCAGCGGACTCTTCTAAAGGATCACCAGATGGGAAATCCGAACCAGACATTCCTTCAGGTATATATACTACTTTTTTTCCTGTTAAAACTACATTAGGAAATTTTATTTAATTAATTTAATTAATCCATGGAAAAAAGCAGGGACAGGGTCAAAGATTACTGGTGGGACTACATCTAGGGGAAGCATTGTGGAACTGCCGCTTCATCTCACAGCTACTTCGACCTTCATTGCTGCATTCAGTGCTTTTGCGTCAACTTTTCTCTAGATTCAAATTGTTTAGGAGTTTTAACATTCTATGTTTTTTTTTTATGTGTGATGATTTAATTTTTTGATTTTGCCCCAAAGCTGTAGTACCAGCGTGCCATGTATGAGTGCATGTCCTGTATTGTGTCTAACACTTACTATGAGTTATTCACTGAAGTCTTGGAAAGTCAATTCTAGCTCATTGTCATACTCATTTTCGCTCTGTTTATTTCTTTTTCCTTTTTTACCTTCACTTTCCTTTTCGGTTATTGCTGATTGTAATTAGTTGATCTTTGGCAAGGCCTTCGCATAACAAAGAAAGAATAAATTCGCATTCAGCCTGTATACGGTCAAAATCGAGGAGTATGATTTTGAAGGCTTAAATCGGGCTATAGGCTCGAGTCTGGGAGACTCGAAGTGGGTGTCGTATCCGACTAAGGGGGACCTACCTCGAGGGAGCTGATCGAATGCCTGGCACGGGCTGCATCGAGGGCGGCATTGTCTCGAAGTCAATCAAGAATGAGCGGGAACTTCTCAAGGACACGTGGACCTGGGCATTAATGGTAGGATAAGGGCCGTACGAAATGGTACAGATCCGTACTAAGCCGTTATACACCTGTACCAATAGAATTCTTTACCTTTATGAGCATGGTACTATGTTAGGGTTTTCTCCTCCTATATAAAGGGGACCCCAATCATATTGTAAGAGGATCAGATCATTCACTGCAATAGAACATTCTTATTCTTCTCTTGTTTAACGTGCTCAACAATTACTTTACAGCTTTATTGCCTTTGCTTTATTGTTCATACTTTATTACTCTTAGCCAACCTCGAGGCCCCTGGATATTCGAGCTCGAGGCCCCCTACAGTTCCAGCAACATCTATTTGGTTCTTTATTTCTTCTTACTTAAGCTCAATATTACTCATATAATCACTAGTATTAGAATATATCACGTATCTTTAAAACCACAAATCATCTTTAGTTGTTACTTACATTTTTCGAGGTAAATAGTTTGGCGCCCACCGTGGGGCTAAAGATAATAGTGATTATTTTAGTGCTCGTTTTCTGATAACACACGTTATTCTTCACACTTTTTTTTGTCAAAGATTCTTTGATTTCAGGCTTAATCATGTCTAGCACATGAAACGAACCCGCTCACGACAGTGAAGGACTTGGAGAAAACAGCGACATAGGGCTCGGTGTACCACCCGTAAACCCCGAAGGAATGCCAAACGTGGAGCCAGTTGAAATCAGCTCCCATAACGCTCTAAACACGGACACAGGCGCGGACCCCGCAAAAAATGCACACGGAGAAGCCCAGGACGGAGGCCAGGAAACACAAGGACTGGCAGAAGGAGGAGTCAGCCTCCAAGTGATTTTCGAGATGTTGCAAGCTCAGCAAGTCGCCATCGCTCAGCTTCAGAGTCAGAACAGAACTCCCAACACCGTTGAACCAGTAAACACGCAGCGTGAACTAGTGCTGGAAAGGCTCGATGAAAGCGGCTCGGTGACTGATCCCGCTATTATGAAAAGGCTCGAAGAACCTCAACATGTCATTCACATGATCATCGGTGGAGCAGATGTCCCACAGGAACCAATATTCAAATGCACCAAAATATCCATCACAAGGGAAAATCAAACTCGGGATTACTTGCCCGAGGACACCCTCACATTCAGCGAGGAAAACCCCGAGGCTTTATCTCAACCTCACAACGATGCACTGGTAATTTCTATCCTTTTAAATAAAGTTCAAGTTAAACGTGTTCTCGTGGATCCAGGTAGCTCGACAAATATAATCAGGTCCAGGGTCGTGGAGCAGCTCGGACTGCTCGATCAAATCATACCGGCATCTCGAGCCTTGAATGGCTTTAACATGGCAAGAGAAACGACGAAAGGAGAAATCATCCTCCTAGTCAACGTGGCCGGAACCATACAAGACACCAAATTTCATGTCATTGAAGGCAAGATGAGATATAATGCTTTGCTCGGAAGACCATGGATCCATAGCATGAGGGCAGTGCCTTCGACCCTTCACCAAATGATGAAGTTCCCAACAAAGGATGGCGCGAAAACAGTATATGGAGAACAGCATGTAACTAAGGAAATATTTGCAGTGCACGACTTGACACCGGTATCGATGTCATTATCGAAAAAGTCAAAGGACAAGCAGGCGGCCAAATAGCAATTACAGCTCGTGCCCTCGGTTATCCCGATGGACAAATATTCGATGAACAGGTGGCTGGGGATAAAAAAGAAGATTTCCTCACCCCTCGAACTTTCGTTGCCCCCGAGGAATTAGATGCAACGAAATCCACGGTCGAAGAACTCGAACAGGTCATATTAATCGAGCATCTTCCGGAACAAAAGGTATACCTGGGGACGGGATTAACCCCCGAACTCAAGAAAAAACTCATTCAATTTATGATCGATAATATTGATTGCTTCGCTTGGTCCCATTTAGATATGACAGGGATTCCACCGAAAATAACTACCCATCGACTGAGCGTCGATCCAAGATTTAAACCAGTGAAGCAAAAGAGGAGACCTCAGTCTGAGGTAAAGCATGCGTTCATCAAAGAAGAGGTAACCAAACTTCTCAAAATAGGATCCATCGGGGAAGTAAAATATCCTGAATGGCTAGCTAACGGGGTGGTAGTCCCTAAAAAGGGGAATAAACATAGAAGGTGTGTAGATTACAAAGATTTGAATAAAGCATGCCCTAAAGATTCTTTCCCATTGCCCAACATCGATCGCCTGATCGATGCTACGGCGGGCCACGAGATCCTTACTTTTCTCGATGCCTACTCCGGGTACAACCAAATTCAAATAAACCCGGAAGACCGGGGGAAAACTTCATTCATCACCAAGTATGGAACGTATTGTTATAATGTGATGCCCTTCGGGCTAAAAAGTTCTAGAGCCACATATCAACGTTTAGTCAATAAGATGTTCGAACATCAAATAGGCAAATCCATGGAAGTTTATATTGATGATATGCTAGTTAAGTCCCTGCGCGTAGAGGACCATTTGACCCGTTTTCAAGTGACATTCGACATCCTCAGAAAATACAACATGAAGCTCAACCCCGAGAAATGCTTTTTTGGAGTCGGCTCGGGCAAGTTCTTGGGCTTCATGGTGTCGAACAGAGGTATCGAGATCAACCTCGATAAAATCAAAGCCATCGAGGAAATCACCGTGGTAAATAATGTGAAAGCCGTGCAACGACTGACCGGACGGATAGCTGCCCTAGGTCGATTCATCTTGAGGTCATCAGATCGGAGCCATCACTTCTTTTCCCTACTCAAAAAGAAGAACAACTTCACATGGACCCCGGAATGTCAGCAAGCCTTGGAGGAATTAAAACGATACTTGTCGAGCCCACCCGTGCTCCATACTCCAAAAAAGGATGAAACACTCTACTTGTATCTGTCCGTATCAGAGGTAGCGGTAAGTGGCGTGTTGGTTCGAGAAGAGAAAGGTACGCAGTTTCCTATCTATTATGTGAGTCAGACCCTAGGAGATGTTGAAACCAGGTACCCACATTTGGAAAAGTTAGCTCTTGCATTATAAGCGCATCTAGGAAATTAAAACCGTATTTTCAATGCCATCGTATATGTGTACTGACCACATACCGCTTCGAAATATCTTGCATAAGCCCGAATTATAGGGCAGGTTAGCTAAGTGGGCCATCGAGCTTGGAGGATATGATATTGAGTATCAGCCTCGAACGGCCATCAAGTCTCAGATTTTGGCAGACTTCGTGGCCGACTTCACGCCTGCCCTCATCCCGAAGTATAAAAGGAACTCTTGCTAAAAACGGGTGCATCGACGGGGGTGTGGACCCTCTTCATGGACGGTGCCTCAACTGTGAAAGGGTCCGGGCTCGGCATCGTTTTAAAATCGCCTACGGGCAGTGTTATTAGAAAATCTATCAAAACTTTTAAATTGACTAACAATGAGGCTGAGAATGAAGCCATGATTGTAGGTCTTGAACTAGCTAAGGGCCTTGGAGCAGAGGTCATCGAGGCAAAGTGTGATTCCCATTTGGTGGTAAACCATGTAAACGGAAGCTTCGAGGTTCGAGATGATCGAATGCAAAGGTACTTGGACAAACTTCAAATGACGCTGCACCGCTTCAAGGAATGGACACTGGACCACGTACCTCGAGAACAAAATAGCGAGGCCGACGTACTAGCAAACTTGGGTCATCAGTCGAAGAAGACAAGATCGTCCCAGGGGCTGTCATCCAGCTATCGAAGTCAGTGATCGAAGAAGGCCATGCAGAGATTAACTCAACAAGCCTGACATGGGACTGGAGGAATAAGTACATTGATTACTTAAAGCATGGGAAGCTCCCCGCGGACCCAAAGAAATCAAGAACACTACGAGCCAAAACAGCTCGATTCTCGCTCGATGAAAATGGAACGTTGTATAGAAGAACCTTCGGTGGACCGCTAGCAGTGTGCTTGGGACCGGGGATACGGACTATGTACTACGGGAAATCCATGAGGGCTCTTGTGGGAACCATTCTGGTGCGGACTCGCTGGTTCACAAGGAGATCAGAGCAGGATACTATTGGGATATCATGGAAAAAATACCAAGGAGTTCCTTCGAAAGTGCGACAAGTGCCAGAGATTTGCGCCAATAATTCATCAACCCGGTGAACAACTCCACTCGGTCCTATTCCCATGGCCATTCATGAAATGGGGGGTGGACATCGTCGGCCCCCTACCAACGGCGCCAGGTAAAGCCAGATTCATTTTGTTTATGACTGACTATTTCTCAAAATGGGTTGAAGCGCAGGCCTTTTAGAAGGTTAGAGAAAAAGAGGTCATCGATTTCATATGGGATCATATCATATGTCGGTGCGAGATACCCGCCGAAATAATGTGTGACAATGGGAAACAGTTCATCGGCAGCAAAGTCACACAGTTCCTCGAGGACCATAAAATCAAAAGGATCCTATCAACACCTACCACCCAAGTGCAAATGGTCAGGCCGAGTCCACCAACAAAACCATTTTTCGAAACTTAGAGTAAAGGTTAGATGATGCAAAGGGGAAATGTAGAGAAGTGTTGCCCGAGGTACTATGGTCATATCGGACAACAGCAAAGTCAAGCATGGGGGAGACCCCGTTTTCTTTGGTATACGGGACCGAAGCTTTAATCCCAGTAGAAGTTGGTGAGCCTAGCTCCAGGTTTCAACATGCCACCGAAGACTCAAATCGCGAAGCGATGAACACTTCTCTCGAGCCGCTGGACGAAAAGCGGAAGGCCGCATTAATTCGAATGGCCGCACAAAAACAAAGGATCGAGAGGCATTACAACAGAAGGACGAATCTTCGACATTTCAGAGTCGGGGACTTAGTTCTAAGGAAAGTCACTCTTAACACTCGAGACCCAAACGAAGTGAAGCTAGGTGCCAATTGGGAAGGACCGTACCGTGTCCTCAGAGTCATAGGGAAAGGATCCTACAAACTCAGCAAAATGGAAGGCGAGCAACTATCAAATAATTGGAACATATCAATGCTCAAGCGATAATACTGCTCAGCTCGGAGACCTTGGGTTTGAAAGCATGCGTTTTACTCTTTTTCCCTTGGATCGGGTTTTAACCCAAATGGGTTTTACCGGCAATGTTTTTAACGAGGCAACACATATATGATACCTAAAGGTCACTCAACAAGTATTCATGGCTTCTTTTTAATCAACCTCGAATACTGGGGAGCATCACCCTCGGAGGTTATAACTTTGAGAAAGATATTTCATGCCCAAGAGGGCCCCGACAGCAAAACTTTATAATAGGCCAAACGGTCGAATGAACCGTGTCCATATAGAATAATCGGGCCCCGATGGAAAAACATGTATGCATGTATCAACTATTTGAAGAAGCATTCTGGTTATATCAAAAGACACTTTGTATCTCATACGAGCTCTATACTTACAATCCTACGGGAAACGGCTCAAGGGCCAAAGCGCCCTGAAATACCCGGGGACTGTCCATGACAGTCAATATAAGACCTCAAAGAGGCATCATAAGACCTTGAAGAGGCACCCCCTCGAAACAAAGGCCAAGGCCAACTCACTCGGGGACTAACTTTTCGAGAAAGTTCGGAAAATTATCGGGAAACGAGTCCAAGTGGCAAATCCAAAGGCTACGGCCATACTAAAGACTACGGTCACACAAAGGCTACGGCCAAAATAATGCGACTCGGAGATGTCCGATTTTCGCTATAAAACTAAAGGCTTTCAAACATTAAAAACCGGTTAAATCAGGCTACCCTCGACAAAAGCAAAATATAAGGGGCCTCGATAAATTCTGCCCCCGAAAAATCTAAGGGCTTCGATAAATCAACCCTCGAAAAAAAGGTTTCGACAAATCAACCCTCGAACAATCTAGAGGCTTCGATAACACCAGCCTTCGGAAAACCCTTAAGAGGCATTAGATTATGTCCATGCAAACAAAATGACTAATAAGGCTCCGATACGTCGAGCCTTCGAAAAACCCAACGGGTACAAAATACATGCTAAGGAATAACTCGAACTCCATTAAGTCTTTTAGCCGAAGTGAGGGAAAACTCTATAGCCATTTTTAGAGGCTGAAACGGCCCAATTTAAAGAGCCTAAGGGCCAACCTAAAAAAGCCTAAGGGCCAATTCTAAAAAAGAGCCTAAGGGCCGATATGCCTAAGGGCCAGCTTAAAAAGAAATATAGGGTCAAAGACCTACGGAAGTCTGAGACCCCATTCTTGTTCAACTCGGACCCAAAGACCCCGAGCTCGCATTAATTTAACTTTAAGTTTGGCTCGGGGATCATCTAAAACCCTAAGGGGTACGACCTTGGGCAATTAAAGCCTAAGGGCTTATTGCGAGTCTAAACCAATACTCGAACTTAACATATGAACCATCGAAAATTTTCATGAACGGGGTAATAAAAAGTCAGCACAAATAAAGAACAGAGCAGAAAGACTACTTTACATTCATCCGGGAAATTTGCATATTACAACAAGGGGCTCTTATACAAAAATAGAAACCTAATCTATTTTCGGAGCCTCGTCCCCAGGAGTGACGTCTTCATCTCCAATGGCTTTATCTTCTCGAGCCTCTTCCCCTTCAGGAGCATTCTCCTCACTTTCCCCATCCTCGGAGCCACTCACCACGTCTTCATCATCATAAGACACAAGAAACCTAGCATGGGTTTCCCGTGCTTGTGCTTCGGCTATCTCCTCGGCAAGATCAAATCCTCGAGCACGGACTTCCTCGAGAGTCTCCCTCCGGGCTTGACACTTAGCCAATTCACTGCTCGATTTCGCCCGGTTAGAGGCTGCCTTCAACTCAGCTTGAATGGCTGCGGCTTCTTTCTGGTATATAGCGATGGATTTATCGGCCATAACCTTCGTCTTCTCAGCCTCGGCCTTGGCTTGTGCAGCTTCAGCCTTAGCATATGCAGCTTCACTATAGGCTTTAGCCAGTTCGGCCCCCAGCTCCTCGATTTCCTATGCCTGAGCCAAACCTTTCGCTTTAGCACCATGGAGTTGAGCCTCAACCGAGGTCAGTTGAGCCTTAACAACTTCCTTTTCAGCGTTGAGTCGATCCATGTTCTCCTTCCACTGGTGATAATCAGCCCGAACTTGGTTCACCTCGCCCCGGAGCTGCCCAATCATGTCCAGCTTTTGCTGCAGCTGAGACATCAAAGTATTAGCCCCCGAAGTAGGGCCAAGAATGCCGAACTTTGTTAAAATCAGAGTTACCTGCTCGTCCAACTCGGACTCGCTTTTTTGAGCTTTGGCCAAAGAAGTCTGGAGGTCCTTAAGCTCCTCTTCCTTTTGACTACAAAGGATCCTCAAGGCCTTCTCTTCGCCTGAGACTCTCTTGAGCTCGACCTCACATTGTTTCAGCTCGGCCTTGAATTTTGCAACAGCCTATACATGAAATAAAGATGCGTCAGTAGAAGAGGAAAACAAAGGGAGAAAAACTTGTAATAGATGGGGGTATGTGTTTACCCGGAGAAAGAGACGCTGGGCCTCTTCAAAAATGGAGGATGCATCAGTGAAGGCATCGACACCCTCAACCCAAGCATATCAACTCTGGAAAGGATCATCCGTGATGACCTTACTTGGGTCGGGCATATGTAAAGTGTTGGCTTCCTCGATTGCCTCCCCAAAATATGTTGGCAATGAAAGAGAATGACTTGTTGTCGCGGCCCCGAGCTCCTCACTCGGGGCGTTCTCATTAACCTCGGGGGCCTCAGCATTTACCCCCTTTGGTATAGTTGTTGAAGACGGAGGGACAATCTCAACCTCCGGGGATACGGGGGCCTTGCCCGTCTCTTCCTTTCGGGCATCCTCACCACAAGGTGGACTTTCTAGTTCGGAAGTCTTAATGGCCTCGACTGACCTCCCGGTCCGAGTTACCAGTGCCGGTTCTTCCCCATCATTTTCCTCACCATCCGGGGAGTCATGGGCTGAGTCTGTTCCCATTTGAGCAAACCTTTTTCGTAGCCTTCGAGTGGAGGATTTCTTGTCTTGAGGGTTTTCAGGCTCCGAGACCCTCTTTCTTTTATTATCCTTCTCTGGCTTCAGACTTGAAGGCTTGGTCGTTTCCCGCGATGGGGCCGGCCTCATCTCAGACGCGTCTCCAAGGCCATGGTTCTTGGCCTCCCATCGGCCCTTCGCCAATTCACGCCACTTACGCTTGTCGTAAGAGGATGTAGCAGCAAGTTTCCTAACCCAAGCCTCGAGGTCGGGCACCGCCAAGGGCGCTCAAGCGTCGGCTGCCAAAAGAATGATGAGTAAGCTGTGAAAAATGAAAGGACAAGAATAGATACAAAGGGAAATGCGGACTCCACTTATGATTAAAGTTCCACCTCTCTGGGAAAGATATTTTTTCCTCGGGAATGATGTCCGAAGTGCTGACTCTAACAAATCGGCTCATCCAACCTCGATCTTTTGTTTCATCGGCACTGGCGAAGAAGGACTTCGTGGTTCGACGCTGCAGCTTGATAAGTCCTCGAAATAATTGGGGCTGATACAATCGGACTAAGTGGCTGAGGGTGAATTCTAAACCTTCGGCCTTCTCAGAGAAGTGCCGCAACATGATCACGATATGCCAGAACGAAGGGTGGATTTGGTCGAGGGTGACTTCGTATGTCTTGCAGAAGTCGATCACTACCGGATCGAGGGGGCCCAGTGTGAAGGGATAAGTGTAAACACTCAAAAATCCCTCCTTATGGGTAGTTATGCTTTCATCAGGCTTCGGGATCTGAATCTTGACCTCGTCCCCTCGTCGACATTCCTTCTTTACATCCTTGACGAGCTGCATGGTTATCATGCTAATATATCGTGACACATGCTCGCATCGGCCCTCGACATTTGGAGGATTCCCGATACCGAAGTCCTTCTTAATGATGCAATCGCCAGGGGTGATCTCTTCAAGTGTCGGCGGCACCACCAGTTTGGCCGGCCGAGAGGCAGAGGAAGATGACGCTTGATCCTTTTTAGGGACCGTCTTGGAAGTTTTGGCCATGGTTATAAGGTCAGGAAGACGAGTGAATTGGGATGTAGTGCTTCCGGCTAGAGCCTGGTGTTTTACAGCGTTTAAAGAGGTGGAGGAAATAGGTGATTGAAGAGATGAGGATTCGAAGAGATTGAAGAAAGGTAAAGTTGTTTACTAAAAGAAGACGCCACATATTTATAGAGGGGCATCGACGGTTCGAAGGCATTAATGGCCGACCAACACTGGCGTGCATTTAATGTTTTTGGGAAGCGGACAGATGGGACGTTTCGATCACTTCATATGTTGGTTTCACAAGGACGACATCATCGCGGGAGGCTCGAAAAAATCGAGGTTCAAATCGTTTCATATCATTCCATTCTGAGAAACGCGGGGACTATCTGTATATGGTCAAAATCGAGGAGTATGATTTTGAAGGCTTAGATCGGGCTATAGGCTCGAGTCTGGGAGAGTCGAAGTGGGTGTCGTATCCGACTAAGGGGGACCTACCTCGAGGGAGCTGATCGAATGCCTGGCACGGCTGCATCGAGGGCGGCATTGTCTCGAAGTCAATCATGAAAGAGCAGGAACTTCTCAAGGACACGTGGACCTGGGCATTAATTGTAGGATAAGGGCTGTACGAAATGGTACACATCTGTACTAGACCGTTATACACCTGTACCAATAGAATTTTTTACCTTTATGAGCAAGGTACTACGTTAGGATTTTCTCCTCCTATATAAAGGGGACCCCAATTATATTGTAAGAGGATTAGATCATTCACTGCAATAGAACATTTTTATTCTTCTCTTGTTTAACGTGCTCAGCAATTACTTTACAGCTTTATTTCCTTTGCTTTATTGTTCATACTTTATTACTCTTAGCCAACCTCGAGGCCCCTGGATATTCGAGCTCGAGGCCCCCTACAGTTCCAGCAACATCAATTTGGTTCTTTATTTCTTCTTACTTAAGCTCAATATTACTCATATAATCACTAGTATTAGAATATATCACCTATCTTTAAAATCACAAATCATCTTTAATTGTTACTTACATTTTTCGAGGTAAACACAGCCACAATGGGAACAGAAATTTTCATGATTTAAAAGTCTAAAGTAGAGAGGAAATGAAGGACCGCACGGAGCAGATAGAAAATTAGAGATTCTTAAGGAGTTATTGTCCCTCTTGTATTCATTCAAGCTTCAACGTGTTTGGAATATGTGATCATCTCATCTAAAAGCTTAAACGTTTAGACAGAGCACACTTTTATTTATTTAATTGTGTCTTCAACATGCCCCCTCACGTGCATACTTGTTTTTTTTATGAGTCAAGTACGTTAAATTTTTTTTGATAATGGATGGTGGTGGTTAGAATCAAACCTAGGACCACAACCTGCTCTGATACCATGTTGAAATGTGTGACTTGTTAGATTTTTCCTATTATGTGTATGACCCAATATATTAAAGCCCATAATTAATATTTAATGAAAGACAAATCTCGTCCGTCCGATCGGTTAATTGATGGACGTATCGGATTAGTGAGAACCTCTATAAATTGGTCCACTCCCCATCCATTAGGGTTACCGTATTTTTCTATTCTCTCTTCCATCACTAAAGTCGGCGGTAACGAAAGCTATGGCAAGATGCGAGAAACTAATTCCAATTAACGCTTCCACTTCGTGATAATGGCTTACGATTCAGGTATGTATTGTGTAACAATTTTATGTAAGATTATTATGTTCAAGATCCTGGTATAAATTAAAATTTATATTTACATGACCATCTTATGCAAAAGCTTAAGCTGTTAGAGAGAGCACAATTTTATTTATTTAATTGCGTTTTCAACGGAACGTTCAAATTAAACATAATGATATCTTCTTACTTTTGGTTAAGAAAACAACAAAGAAAGAAGGAAAGAAAGAAGAGAAACTATTTGACTCAGAATTCAAAGGCCAATAATGTTTTGGGCTAGGAAAATTAAAATAAGTGGGAATAGTTAATACATTGAACAGAAAGAGAAGTAAGAGTGAGGAGGGTGCCCTTGATTTATCTCTGTTTGGTAAGCACTTCCTTTTTTGTCTAATATTTCAAAATAGTGTTGCAGGATTCGGAAATGGAATTCTGGATTCCTATGGCGAACATCAAATGAGTTGATTCCCCTATACTACTTTGGGCAAACTTTTGATTTCAGCAGATATGAAAATTCGGTGATTTCTTCGTCAAGGAGTGATGTCCAAATCATAAAAGACCAAAAGGCAATTTTGGATTTGATTTTACTCTGTGAATACAAAATGTGATATTGACCTTTGCAGCTATCCTTGAGAAAAAAGAGTGGTCCTTGACCATCACTAAACCTTGGACCATAGCAAATAACATGTGTGCCTATTTTTCAATTTTTAAGTTTCGCAGAGATCATCAAAAAATTAGTAGTTGTTTACTAAGTTATGGTTATAAAGTAGGAAAAGTAGTTAAGCCACATTCGTTTCCCCATCTGCATGCATTAATTTATTTCCCCAACTTTTCCTTTACAAATATGACTTCTCTTGACTTTTATTTTCCACCCTATATATATATATATATATATATATATATATATATATATATATATATATATATATATATATCTCAATAGTAGAAACCATTTAATATCTCTTTTTGTTAATTAGCTAAGAAGCAATTTACAGAACAATATTCAAGGGAAAAATGCAGATCTCAGCGAGCACAATAAGTGCAATAATTGTTCTGGCAGTGGCTCTTCTTTCATTACATGTCAGTGCTCAATCGGATTGCCAACAGGTGGTTGTTGGGTTAGGTCCGTGCCTGCAATACATAGAAGGGAATGCCACGAGCCCGTCATCAGGATGCTGCACTCAGCTCGCCACTATGGTCAAGACGCAGCCTCAGTGCTTGTGTCAGGTTTTGAATGGCGAGGGCTCATCCTTTGGAGTTAATGTCAATCAGACACTTGCGTTGGCTCTTCCTAAAGCTTGTAATGCCCACACTCCCTCTCTTAGCCTATGTAAAGGTACGCTTAATTTATCACTACTTCCTTAATTCCCAAATAGTAATCGTTTGACTAACTGAATTTTGTCTTTAAAAAAAGAGGAAGTATTTATTACTTTCGCGTCTCAATTTATGTAAAATTGTTTGACTGCATGGAGTTTAAGAAAGAAATAAAAACTTTTGAAACTTGTATTCTAAAACAAGCTTTAAATATTTGTGTGTTTATAAATCATTTCATTAAGGATAAAATGAATATTTTGAAGTCAATTAAGTTGCTCCTAAACTAGAAAGGTAATATTCTTTTTAGGACAAACTAAAAAGTTTTTCCGAACACATCTTAACTAAAATATCCATTAAGTGGCGCTTATGGGTCGTTTGATACATGGAATAAAAATAATAATCCCGAGATAAAGCTTGAAATTAATTGATCCTATGTTTGATTTGGAATATTAGCTAATCCCGGGATTAACTTTTACACTAAAATAATGAATTAGTTATCCCATATAAAAAGGGATAACTAATCTTATGGAATATCCCATCCCATGGGATATTCTGGAAATTCCACCGTTGTACCAAACGACCACTAAGACAAAAATGAATGACAACTAACAGTCACTTTTATAATTAAAGTCATTCAATATCTGTAAGGGGTAGCAACGTCTTTGCCCTTCTTTCTTTTTAATTTTTCCCGAACCTTTTCACTTCCCTCTAATTATGACGAATGATCATTTTTTTTTTAATCTGTATTGTGAATATAAACATTTCAGCAACTTCGCCAACTGGTTCTCCGGAAATCTCTCCGTCCACTCCTTCAGGTGCGAATACGAACAAATCTTGCACTGTAACAACTGCACTTTTTCCATGGTTTTCTTCCTGCACCAATTTCAACTTTTATATAAGGGTGTGAGAATTGATTATATATTTGTGAGCGTGACATGCAGGAGACAGATATTCAAGATCTTCGCCAAGTGGAGATTCATCAGGAGGATACTCATTGAAGCTGCAGCCATACTGTCTGTTATTTACCCTTAGTGTAGCCACTTTGTCATATGCCACAATATTCAGCTCCATCTTATAAGCTAAAGCTCACTCAACAAAAATACCGTCTTTAATTTTTGTCATAAAAAGAA